CTGTGATGTCACAGCACTCTACCCAGGGGGACAGCTTGAGGCTCTCTCTCAAAAAAAAAAAAAAAAAAGAGCACTGCTGGAAAAGCCATGCACACTGTGTATACATCACTCCTCTCCTCTTTCCTTCCCTGATCCAGTGGCTCTTACCCAACAGATGAACAAGTCCCAGCCCTGTAGTGGGTCTTGGATTGAGTGTTGTCAAGAACTGGCCTGAGGGCTGGGCACAGTGGTTCAGGCCTGTAATCCTAGCACCAAGGCGGGTGCAAGAATGAGGCCCCCTCTCTACTAAAAATAGAAAAACTAGCCAGGTATTTCGCTGGGTGCCTGTAATCCCAGTTACTCAGGATGCTGAGGCAAGAGGATTGCTTGGGCCTAAGAATTTGAGGTTGCTGTGAGCTATGATGCCATATAACTCTACTGAGGCTGACAGAGTGAGACTCTGTCTCAAAAAAAAATTTTTTTAAAAAGGGCAGCACCTGTAGCTCAGTGGGTAGGGCGCCAGCCCTATATACTCAGGGTGGTGGGGAGGCTGAGGCAAGAGAATTGCCTAAGCCTAAGAGCTGGAGGTGCTGTGAGCTGTGATGTCACAGCTCTCTACTGTGAGCAACAGAGTGACACTCTGTCTCTTAAAAAGAAAAAAAAATGAGGCTGGGCATGGTGGCTCACATCTGTAATCCCAGCACTCTGGGAGGCTGATGTGGGAGGATTGCCTGAGCTCACAGTTCGAGACCAGACTGAGCTAGAGGGAGACCCTGTCTCTAAAAATAGCCCAGCTTTGTGGTGGGCGCCTATAGTCCTAGCTACTTAGGAGAGTGAGGGAAGAGAATTGCTTAAGTCCAAAAGTTTGAGGTTGCTATGAGCTGTGACGCTATGGCACTCTACAGAGGGTGACAAAGTGAGATTCTGCCTCAAAAAAAAAAGAAAGAAAGAAAAGAAAAGAACTGGCTGAGAAGAGTAGGTAGAACAAAGACTATTTGTGGAGTAGTCACGTAGGTCGCTCTGCATGAGGTGATAAACTCAGCACTTTGCAGGCATAATCTCATATAATCATCACCTATGAAGTAGGTTCCAGGATTTGCAGATGAGGAAAACTGGGCTTTGGAAAGGTTCAGGACTGTGCTTAAGGTCACACACCAACCCTGTAGTTTCAGGATTAAAGCCAGGCAATCTAGCCCAGGGCCAGCTCTGTCACCCACTGCCCTAGAGCACTCTTGAGATGTTACTCATTGGAGTAGAGAGAGGTGTCTTCCTAGAGCAGCAGTTCTCAACCTGTGGGTTGCGACCCCTTTGGGGGTCAAATGACCCTTTCACAAGGGTCACCTAAGACCATCCTGCATATCAGATATTTACATTATGATTCATAACAGTAGCAACATTACAGTTATGAAGTAGAAACAAAAGTAATTTTATGGTTGGGGGTCACTACGACATGAGGAACTGTATTAAAGGGTTGCACCATTAGGAAGGTTGAGAACCACTGTCCTGGAGCTTCAGTGCCCTGTGTTGGTCCCCTCATGTGTCACATGACTGGCAGGGTTCTAGCAACCCTTTCCTAAGTCCAGCAACTCCTATCTGTGTTTAGGGAAATCATCCAGGGCATCTGCGTGAAGGACAGAAATCACAGTGAGATTGGTCATTCCCGGGTGAGCAAAGGCCTCCCTTTGGGGTGGGAGGAAGGAATTCCCTCTTAGACCCTATCCCCTCTTTAATGATCAGAGCATGCCTTGTTGCCATTATAGGTCTGAGAAGCTTCTCCATCCCTCCATCTTCATTCCCTATCACTTTTTCCCTGTGCTGCTCTGTTCAGAGTGAGCCTCCTATATCCCTTCTTTATCCTTTCTGGTCCTGAAGCCATAAAAGTCTAGGTAGTGGGTAGAGGGACAAGTGAGGTCACTGAGCTCCTGGAAGGTTCATCCCTTTCCCATCATTATCTCAGACTTAGCAATGACCCTGATTCAGTCCTCCAGAGCAGCCTATGTGTGCTGGATAAGTCATTCCTCACAACTAATTTTTTTCTGCCCTCAGAGAGCTGCGGCCATAGGCATCACCCAAGTGGTTATATCTCGAATCACCATGGCAGCTCCTGGCATGAGTAAGAAGGAGAAACCTTCTCTTCCTGGGGGATCCTGGAACATGGGGTGGAAGCCTCAACCACACACATACTTGGTGAAGGGTGGTACCCCAGCCTCTACAACTATGCTTTTCAAACTGCTTTGCTTGAATGCTTAGTGTGAGCTTAGGAGCTTAGGAGACCCACACTAGTTTCTAGAATATCAATCAGAGATTTGGGGGGAAACGTTATTTCCATTTGACTAATACTTATTAAGTCCCATTGCTTAGTGTGCTAGACACGGAGCAAGGTGCTAGGAAGACAGTGGTAGAGATAATAAATTCCCTGCCCTGGTGTGCTTCCAGTAAGGGCATATTGCAGCATAATATGCCAAATTCATTCGTATGAGCCCTCAAAGATGTTTTTGAGTATGAAGAAGGACACTTTGAATCTAGCAGCACATATTCTCCCGTTACTGCAGGTGTACAGGTTGAGAAGCATAGTTCCACTGGAACTTGGGGGACAGGGGCTGAGGGTGGCTGTGCCTACACAGATCTTCAGTTCTTCTCCCAAGTGTAGCTTCTGGGGAAGGAGGGGGAATCATTCATCCCCAATCTGACTTCAGGAGTCCTAGGGAAAGTCTTCAGCCCTCCCTCTGCTTCTCCCATGCTCTCTTCTAGTCTTACTGCCAGTAATCATGGAGAGGCTGGAGAAGCTGCACTTCATGCAGGTAGGTGGGGTTTTCTTTGCATCTTCCCTGCCCAGCGTGCCCCCACCATATCTGTGTCTGGGGACTCATGAATCCCCACCTTTCCCTCTAACCACCAAGCCATCAACCCTTTCAAGTAGACCCCATCCCTCCTGGCTGTCTGCTTGCAGAGAGCAGGGACAGCGCCCCCTTCTCCTCCCCTTCAGGGCCTAGAGGTCCCTTGCCTGTGGGTTCTTCTAGCTGGTTGCTCCATGTCAGGACAGCATGAGGTTCTCCTTAAAGTAAAGTCCCATGTGGGTCTCTCTTTTGTTTTTGTGCAGAAAGTCAAGGCCCTGCATGCCCCATTGCAGGTCATGCTGTCGGGGTGCTTGTGAGTATTGTGTTTTGTTGGTTTGGGTTCTTGGTGACTGGGGTACCCAAGATCCATTTCCTTGTCTAGCTCATATAGAAGAACATGTACTCCTTTACTGACTTTAAAAGTGGCCAAGCTGGGTGGTGCCTGTGGCTCAAAAGGGTAGGGTGCTGGTCCCATATGCCGGAGGTAGCGGGTTCAAGCCCAGCCCCGGCCAAAAACGGCAAAAAAGAAAAAAAAGTGGCCAAGCTGGCTTGGCACCTGTAGCTCAAGTGGCTAAGGCGCCAACCACATACACCAGAGCTGGTGGGTTCGAATCCAGCCCGGGCCTGCCAAATGACAATGACAACTACACCAAAAAAAAAAAAATAGCTGGAAATTGTGTTGGGCACCTGTAGTCCCAGCTACTTGGGAGGCTGAGGCAAGAGAATTGCTTAAGCCCAAGAGTTTGAGGTTGCTGTGAGCTGTGATGCCATGGCACTCTACCAAGGGCAACATAATAAAACTCTGTCTCAAAGAACAACAAAAACAAGAATTCTGGAGCAGTTTTCGAAAAGGAACAAGAATAATGAGACACAGCTTTGACTGAGACTGTTAAGTGTCCCAGCCTTGCACAGGAGGAAAATGCCACCATAACAGTATCATTCATAGGTTCTTGCTATTGATTTGGACATGTCCTAGCATTAGTCATGCTTTGCAAGGGCATGGAACTGAAGATAGCAACACTAACACCTTCATTGACTGGATGTTTTCTCTGTGTGACCCTCCTGAGCTAATGCTGTATGGCTACAATTTCAATTAATTCTCTCAGCTCTAAAGCTGTATATACTATTATCTTTTTTTTTTTTTTTTTTATAAATGATGAGAATGAGGTTTAGAGAGGTTAAGAAGCTTGTTCAGGGGCAGATAGCTGGTAATTAATTGCTGGAGCTGAGATTTGATCTTAAAGAGCCTAACAGTCTGCTGTACAAACTTCTGCTAAGTGAGTTACCATGGATGGGCTGGGTGCTTTACATATATCATCTCATTTAATTCTCTTAATAACCTTAGAAAGAAGGCACTGTTGTCCTCCCTCTGCTAGCTCAGAAGTAACTTGCTCAAGGTTGCACAGCTAGTAAGTGGCAAAGCTGGGATGCCACGCCAGGTCTATTAGATTCCCAAATCCTGTAAGATCTTACATCCTAAACTTGGTCCTGGCCAGCATCATCAGCATCATCTGAGAACTTGTTAGAAGTAAAGACTCTGAAGCCTTCCCAGACCTACTCAGTCAGCACGGGTATTTCACAAGCTCCTGAAGTTATTTGTATGCACTGTGAAGTTTGGGAAATGGCTTTTCACTGTGCTTGGACAGCCCAAGTGTTCAATGAGTGAAGGAGCCAGACCTTCCTCCTTTCCCTAAGACCAGCGGTGCTTGTGGTCTTTAGGTCTGCTGCTCACCCTCCCCAGCCACTTTTGTCTTCCTCATCTGCTTGAACTATGTGATGGGGGGGTGGGGATGTGGGAGTGGGGAGGAGACTGATTTTATCCCTGTGCCAGAATGAGTATCCTGGCACTCAGAGGAGAGGATGTAGGCCAGCTGAGAAGGCAGGTCAGGTGCATGGGCAGCTCTACCTTCCCTTGAGGGTGGGATGTGGGCAGGCCAGTGGGATGATGTCCCCTAATGCTGTGGTTTCTCCTTTCTTACAGTCTCATCTTCATGGTGCCAGTGGCATGTGGGCTCTTCCCACAGAGATGGTATCAGCTGTTTGTTCCTAACTTTGTTTCATTGAACACCCTGCCTCTGCTCTCCCTGACCTGCCTCCTCTCCAGAAGGAAAGAGGGAGGAGGCAGGAAGGGCAGCATTTGTCCAAGGACAAGTGTCCATCAAGCTAAACTCTGGGCCTCTTAACCCTGGGTGAATGGCAAACCAAAACCAAGGGGTGGGAGAAGCCAGGAGCAGGAAAGAGGCTGCTTCCTCCTAGTAGAGCAAGAGCTGCCTCAGAGAGAAGGTGAGGTAACAAGTTGACTGGATTATTAGGAGGCTCTCCCCTGGCTGGATCTGGTTTTTAAAACTGAATTAAGGGGTCAGGTACTTCTGGCTCATATTTGCCAGAGGGTTGACTACTTGGACATCTCCATTTCCAAAGGGGATGTTCAGGGAGAAGGGATGGTGGAAAGGAGAAGGGACACATGTTGGAGTTGGGGGGATGGTGGGATATTGGCCCCAGGAGATAGGTGTAGCTTGAGTTTATATTGAGAAGGTGCCAGTCTCCCCTTCCTTGGTATTCTGGTTCCATACTAGTTCAGTGGTCATCTGCTAGACATCTCCTGTGTCCCTGTGCTTACAATATTGTGGAGAAGACAGAAGTTGGAACCAAGAATCTTAGCCCAAGGAGAATGAAGTCAGGCCTGAGTAACATAGACTACAGAGGCTAAAAATGATTCTGGCTGAAAAAAATCAGGAAGAACTTCTTGGAGGTGGCATTTAAGTTGGATAGTGTCTGAGAGTAATTTGCTGCTTGTCCCACATGGCATACTTTAACCCCCTTCTGTCTTTTCAGTGAATTGTCAGTTTTCTACCTGGAACCAGAGCTCCAAGATACTATCAAGGCCAAGTATGGAGAATCTGTGCCTTATGTCTACTTTAATAAGGGTCTCTAAGTGCGTCACCCCAGAAAGGACCAGTCTATGCCATATTCATCAACTCTTCCATAGCTGCTGTGCACACTTGTGCCCTCATTCCTCTTTGCCAACAAGGCCTGAAGGCCAGGGTGAATTGGGGAGAGGGGTGGGAGGAGGCTTCATGCTTTCACCAGGTACCTGGTTTGTTGGCTGGACTCCAGGGGATAAAAATGAACAAAGGGAGCAAAACCCAAAGTTTTCTATCTGCCTATTCCTTAGCCCCTATTTGAGACCAGAATCTGAGGCCCTCTCAAGGAGAAGTTGCTGGTAACCTGGGAGAGACACTCATATAAATCATTTGGAAAAATTAGGAAATCTTTAGGATCTTGGTTCTGCCCAGGTTTGGGGATGAAGAGAAGCTTCTTCTGGTCTTCCCTCTTCTGTCCCTTGTCTGCCAAGCTATGGACCTTGTACCCGTGCAGTTCTAGCCTTTCTCAGGGAGAGAAGGAGGAAAGGTGCCTGTGTCTCCTTGGGGCTCATCTCCACCCTTCCCCATCCTCCTTCTCGTTGCCCTCTGGTCAGACGACTTCTCTGGGAGTGCTGCTAAACTTACCAGACACTCAGGAGTTGTTAGTGCTAAAAAAAAAAAAAGGATACTACAAGGCAGCAGAGGAGTTACATGGTCCTTTCAATCATGTCTGAATCTATTCTATTTTTTTTTTTGAGACAGAGCCTCAAGCTGTCCCCCTGGGCAGAGTGCCATGGCATCACAGCTCACAGCAACCTCCAACTCCTGGGTTCAAGTGAGTCTCCTGCCTCAGCCTCCCAAGTAGCTGGGACCACAGGCCCCCTCCACAACGCCTGGCTATTTTTTGGTTGCAGCCATTGTTGTTTAGTGGGCCCGGGCTGGATTTGAACTTGCCATCTTAGGTGTACGTGGCTGGTGCCTTAGCCACTTGAGCCATAGGTGCCGAGCCTGAATCTGTTCTTGAGATCTTCCCTATAATAGTAGATGTTCTCTTCCCTACTACCTCATATTTTTGTTGTATTCATTTTCTTTCTTTCTTTTCTCTTTTTTTTTGGCTGGGGCTGGGTTTGAACCCGCCACCTCTGGCATATGGGGCCAGCACCCTACTCCTTGAGCCACAGGTGCCGCCCCCATATTTTTGTTTTAAAAGATAAATCCGCTAACTGAGTGAAGAGGATCTATGTAGGCATTAACCACACATTTTACAGGGTATCATTTCCTGGCTGCCTCCCTTCCTCAGCTCATTAGGTTAAACACCAAAGATTGGTATGTACTGAATAGGAAAGGGAAGTTTTATTTGGGGACCTTTATTAGAGGAAATCAACCAGGACCAAAGAGAGCCCTAAAGGATACTCAGCAAAGTACAGCCACTTGCCTTCCCCAGCTTGGCTGCCCAAGGTGCTTTCTCAAACTCTTTGGAGGACTATTATGGTTTATCTGGGATCAATGTGCATATCACTTTTGTCTGGTAGGATTTGCTGGCCCTGTTCAAATGTGGATTGAATATATCGTAAGAGCACAAAAGAACTGTCTACAAACTATGTTAATAAAGCCTGGATGGAAAGTAGGATCTGGTCTCACTTTGGCCTTGGTATATCAGAGGGTATCACAAGGATGAGGGGAACTTTGATGCCTGGTGGCCATTGTTCATTTCCCACCCCCTGGGTAGAGAGCTGTGGCATCACAGCTCACAGCAACTTCTAATTCCTGGGCTCAGGAATTCCTCTGCCTCTGCCTCCCACGTAGCTGGGACTACAGGTCCCCACCACAACGCCTGGCTATTTTTTGGTTGCAGCAATCATTGTTTGGTGGGCCTGGGCTGGATTCGAACCCACCAGATCAGGTGTATGTGGCTGGTGCCTTAGCCACTTGAGCCACAGGCCTGAGCCTAAGCTCAGGAATTTGAGACCAGCCCAAGCAAGAATGAGATCTCATCTCTACCAAAAAATTAGCCAGGGGGTGGGGTGTGGTGGGTCACACCTATATTCATAGCACTCTGGGAGGCCAAGATGGGTGGATTGCTTGAGTCCAGGAGTTGGAGCCTAGCCTGAGCCAGACCAAGACCCCATCTCTAAAGAACAGCCAGGCGAGGGCAGTGCCTGTGGCTCAAAGGAGTAGAGTGCTGGCCCCATATGCTGGAGGTGGCCAGGTTCAAACCCAGCCCCAGCTAAAAACTGCAAAAAAATAAAATGAAAATAGCTAGGCGAGTGCCTGTAGTCCCAGTTACTTGGGAGGCTGAGACAAGAGGATCACCTGAGCCCAGGAGTTGAGGTTGCTGTGAGCTATGATGCCATGGTACTCTACCAAGAATGACAAAGCGAGACTCTTACTCAAAAAAAAAAATTATGGGCAGCGCCTGTGGCTCAAAGGAGTAAGGTGCTGGCCCCATATGCTGGAGGTGGCAGGTTCAAACCCAGCCCTGGCCAAAAGGTGCAAACAAACAAACAAACAATGCATATATGCATATATATACATATATGCATATATATACATATATGTATAATTAACCAGGCATGGTGGTTTACAGTCCCAGCTACTCAAGAGGCTGAGGCAGGCTGGGTGAGATGGCTCACACCTATAATCCCAGCACTCTGGAAGGCCGACGCAGGTGGATTGCCTGAGATCACAGGTTTGAGACCAGCCTGAGCCACAGCGAGACCCCTGTCTTTAAAAATAGCCAGGGCTTGGCACCTGTGGCTCAAGCGGCTAAGGTGCCAGCCACATACACCTGAGCTGGTAGGTTTGAATCCAGCCCGGGCCTGCTAAACAACAATGACGACTGCAACCAAAAAATAGCCGGATGTTGTGGTGGGCACTTGAACCCAGAAGTTGGAGGTTGCTATGAGCTGTGATGCCACAGCACTCTACCCAGGGCGTCAGCTTGAGGCTCTGTCTCGGGGGAAAAAATAGCCAGGTGTTGTGGCAGATGCCTGTAGTCCCAGCTACTCAGAAGGTTAAGACAAGAGGATCACTTGAGCCCAAGAGTTAGAGGTTGCTGTGTGCTGTGGTACTCTGTTGAGGGTGACAAGTGAGACTCTATCTCAAAAAAAAAAAGAGGCTGAGGCAGGATGATTGCTTGAGCCCAGGAGTGCCAAGTTACAATGATTTAAGATGTAACCACTACACTCCAGCCTGGGTGACAGAAAGATGCTGCAGCTAAAGAAAAATGTTCACTCAAACTGCATATCAGTCCTATTTAGTAGCATCTCTCTCCTTTCTCTGAGTTGATTCCTGTGGGGTGTCGAATTGAGGCAAGAGAGTAAAAGCAGAGCTAAAGATCTGTCCAAGTCCCTCTGTATAGGCATTAGCCAGTCAGTAACAATCCTACCTCTACTGCAGCAGATGACTCTGTTATCTGTATGCCCTTCCCTTGGTATGTGCTGGGCCTAGTTAGTAACTTTGTAACTTGCTTAACCTTCTGACGCCTTTGAGGACAAGTAGCCCGCCGGCCCAGTATCAAGGGCGCCGGCCAATAGGAGTTCCAAGACTTTCATGTCTGTCATGACTATCACATCCTTCACAACTTTCATGTGCACCAAAGCCCTAAAAATGTATAAAAGAAAGGCAAGAGATTAAGTGTGGGGGGGGGGAGGCCCAGTTTTTAGGACACTAGTCCCCCTGTCTACCAGCTGGAGAATATAGCCGATTCCTCTTCCAACTGGTACCTGGAGTCTTCTGTCTGCGTCCGTTTCCTGCAACAGAATAAGAGGCAGAGTTACTAGATGGCCTTGGTGTGGGAAGTGCTAATCCAGACTGCATAGAGTTCAGTGTTTGTCCTCTCCAGTAGCTCAGTTTGAAATAGGGAAAAGGAGAAAGGAAAGTTGGGGCAAAATTTGCCAAATGAAATTGGGTTTTCCTAATGATGATGAAACCTGGCCTTTCTATTGTAACTTCTTTTTTTTTTTTTTTTTGGTAGAGACAGAGTCTCACTTTATTGTCCTTGGTAGAGTGCTGAGGTGTCACAGCTCACAGTAACCTCCAACTCCTAGGCTTAAGCGATTCTCTTGCCTCAGCCTCCCAAGTAGCTGGGACTATAGGCTCTATTGTAACTTCTTAAAGCCAGCATTGAGAGACTGCTGTAAAAATAATTTCTTTCTTGCCTCGTACTCAATCTTTGCTTCTCCCTTAAAGAGCTTGATCTGTGGGATGGATCAATTTCTGAAAAGTAGACATTGGCAAAACTACTTGCCACCTTTTGTATTACTTGGGAAAGCAGGATCAAGACAGAGCAGTGTTTTTCAACTTTTTTATCTCATGGCACACTTGAACCTATAGTTAAACTTCCGAGGCACACTTAAATTATGTTGCTCAAAAAAAAAAAAGGAGTTAAAAAAAATAACTTACTGTGCTTTGAACTTCTTTCAGAAAAAAATTTAATGAATGATCTTTAAAAATTTCGTGGCATACCTAACATCCTCTCATAGCACACTGGTGAAAATCACCCAGATAGTGGCAGAACTGTGGGCATTCTTAAGCAAAGGTAAAAAAGATTTCTTCACTCTTATCCATTTCTCATTTTGCCAACATTTAAGCCCAGAACAGCTCCCTCTGGGCTCAGCTGTGGGCTGGATTGGGTCAGGCTGTAAAACACTTTGGTAGGTTACTGAGAGGAAACTGGCTGCTACTGGCTTGCCACCAGTCTTCATTTTTTTCATTTATTTTACCAACATTGATTGAGCTCATGGTTGAACCCTGTACAGGATGTATACTATAGGAAAAGAAAAAGACTTAGTGTCTGGTACAAAAAGCTGCAAATTAGACAGGAGATTTAAGTGCTTTATGAATCAGAAAAAACGGGATAGGGGCTAAGAGTTTCTAAACAGGGAACTGTCTGTGTAATGCATGAATAAAGTTATTGGGCATTTCTTCCTTTTTTTTTTTATTGAGACAGAATCTTACTATGTCACCCTCGGTAGAGTGTTGAGGTGTCACAGCTCACAGCAGCCTCCAACTCTTTGGCTTAAGCCATTCTCT